AACTGGTATATGTATTTTTCTCTTTCTTTGTTCCTGAACAGCTGAAACAATCAAAGCCAGGTTTTGGGATTGATCAAATATTGGAGTCGGAGGAGAAAGATCAACCAACAATTTACACAGACTATGCACTCAGTGGGGAAATAATAGGAGAGATAAACTGCTTAACTAATGAACCTATGAAATATTCTGCCACCTGCAAAACTGTGGTGGAGGTCAGATAACATCACCTATGACTTGTGTTTTATCTTGTTAAATATCTAATATCAAATTTAAGGTTATTTTAGTATTTAGTATATATTTACACTCTAGCTGACAGTTTATTTTATAAAAATAGGCATGGTAAAATAACAAAACTTATTATGGAATTATACTCACCTAGTGTAATGTCCTGGCAAAATGGGTCATGAAAGTTAACCTAACATAAAGAAAGAAGGATTTAACCATAAAAACTGGTTACATGAGCTCTTTCATGGGGAAATTGGATAAGATACGTTAACTATCAGTATTTTAATTTGAAGGATAAGGAAGATAAAAATGTCATGGCTAGCATCTATTAATAGAAAGTTGAGCAAAGTGGATGGAAGTTTCCCTAGACATGATTGAGGACAAAAATCCTCAAAGTACCAGGGGTTCCTAGTGGCCTATTTTGAACTCAAAAAGAATAATGGCTGCAAACAATTGAACTCCATAAATATGTAAAAAAATCCATAAGTTGAAAATGATACCAAATTTTGTTTATTTCCAATGAGGTAGCCAGCTAGGATATCATCTTATTATTCTGAAAATAGATTTTTTAAGGGAAAGAATTAAACATTTGTCCTGCCTTTCCTCTATGAACTCTTTCAAAGTAATCAAAAAAAATTATGAGGAAAAATTCTTCTGTATAGAAGAATCCCAGCTAACAAATGCATAATGAGAGAATTGGAAAATCACCATTTTGTCATCTCTAATAAAATAATGGATCTAGGCAACAACCATCAACTGATGTTAAAACCACCATGTGGAATGTTAATGGGAAACTTTATAATGAACAGAATACCACCTAAGGACTCTGGTCAACCTCAGCATCACTAAAAGTTGGACAACCAGGCACAAAGCTTAGCTCATGATATGATGAAGCACGAGTACTAGCACCATCCAAGAAGTCTTCTCACACAAGAAAAGAGAAAACTGGAAGCTCTTCAAGGCCCCAGATTGAACCAATTTATAGAAAGTACAGTAAGAAGGGAAGAAAATTAATTGACACCATGAAAAAATAATTTGCTATGTTTAGAATGTGTGTTATTCTACAGGACAAATAATGTGATTTCTTCAATAAATCAATGCCATAAAAAGTGTGTGGAAGGAGAAGGGAAGCAAACAAAGGAAAATTATTCAAAATGGGCTTAAGAGATATAGTAACCAAATACAGTTGTTCTAACTTGAACAAACCAGTTATAAAGAGATCTATTTGAGACAATTTAGGAAATTTTAATATGTACAGAATATTAGATGATATTTTAATTTCTGTTAGATAATTACATTATACCTTTTAAATGTCTCTACCATTCAGTGATATATATAAAAATATTTAAAAGTGAAATGATATGATACCTGCTATTTGCATAAAAGCACTCTGCTTCCGGCTATGATGAAGTTACTGGTAGCAGACTAGTACACTCAGCACAAACAACCACAAAACTTGACAAAATATATAAGGTGAATGTTTTCAGCCATTGAAAATGGCAGTGTAGGTCTGAGAACCTTGAGAGAAGAGAAACTTACAAGGTAAGTCCTACATCCACTCTCTATGTAAAACTATTTCCCTACCTAAAACTATGATACAACAAGTAAGAACCCAAGCAGAAGATCTTTATCCTGCTGTGCTGAGGAATGGAATATGAAAAGTTGTGGAAGCTAAAGCAGCTAACTAAAGCAGAGCCAGGAGTAAGAGAAAGAGTTGCACGGAGGGAGACCCAAGAAGTCTGTGTGGTGGCTCCACAAGTCCTTGGTGGAAGGCTGGGCTGCACATGCTCAGAATCAAACAAAACTAGATTGACCAGATTG